CTGCAAAGTCTAAGTGTTCGCAACTCACTGTTTCCATCTCCAACCCTGAAAACCTATGTAGTGTTTATTGCTATTGTGTTCAATGCTGTTGAAATATGTAACCATCGTCTGTGTTGTCCAAAAGGGCAGCCACTGGCCACATGTGACTATTTAAACTGAAATTAAATTTAGATACAATAAAATGTTTACTTCCCCTGTTTCACTAGCTATGTTGAAAGTAACCAATTAGTGCAGATAAAGAACACGTCTATCTGCAGAAAGTTTTGTTGGATAGCGCCAGAGGATTCCTGTACTAGCTTATGATAAAATATTTAGGCGGCTATCTCCTGGTGGAAAAATCCTCATGAATAATTGAAATGTTGGAAATTTATTTTTGTTTTTCTTTCCTTTCGTGTCCTTGTGTTGTCACTGTACACTGAGGGCAGGGAGTTCACAGATGGCCCTCAGAAGCCTCTGCCAGCTTGCTCTTAACTCCAGGCGCCTACACCCCTTGCTTCAGCCACAGCAGCCCTGCTAATGTCTGTTTTACAAATTGGAGTTTCCTGGTAGCACATCTTGTGCACAAATGGTTGTTTCTCTTAAATGATTGGAAACCTTCTCTAGTCAATTGGGAGAGACCCGACCCATCGGGAGGTTGGTCAAAGGAAGTCACATTTTAGGACTTCCTCCTTTAGCACGCCATCCCCCCAACTTAATGGCTGTCTGTATGGATAAATGCTCAGTTAAGTCTCATTGCAATATGATTGTTTCTAAGAAGTCAAGAGTTGAGAGCAGGGTGTCATTAGAAAGCCCAAAAGAAGCAACCTGATAAACAATAAGATAAACAATGATGCCTAGTTTTCTAGTGATGGCAGGTTTTTGTTTTGTTTTGTTTTGTTTTAAGTTCTGTGGAGATTTTATTTAATGAAACATTCTTTCCCTTTCTCTCTCTCTTTTCAGAATAATGATTTGATCCCTTAACTCCCTTCTAGAGTGACAGAAGTAATTTTTAAAATTATTTTTAAACTTATGAACCCAAGGATTTTAGGAGGATGTGTTTCAGTAAATTGTAGCTACTGTTGCCCTTGCTGTCAGATTGTCCTACATTTAGCTGATGGGTCCTCATCACCTTGGCTCCTTGTTTTTGAATATAACCTAGTAGTTCCTGGAAGTCTCACTGCTTCCTCATGTGACAAGATGTTTCACAATCATTATGCTTATTTCCCGCATAAAACCTGCAATCATTCATTTTGCTAAGGAACTTGGGATCCTATTTTTAAAGAAAGAAAAGTTCCAGTTGCCTCTTTTCCCTTATGTTAACAGAAAAACATGCTACAATACAAAAAGCTGGAAAAAAAATCCTTCAGATTCATATTAATTTGAATATGAAGGTATTTTTACAGGAAAGGGTTACAATGTTAAACTGAAGGTAAAGAGTTGAGTCCATGGCAGTTACATGATTACTTGAAACAGTAATCTGTGAAGGCTTTTAGGCAGGTGCACTCTTTGTTATCCCATTTCAAATCATGTTGTGCACCCTGGCCCTCTGAACTGTCAGCTTCTATAGTTGTCCATGTACAGAAATACAAAAGTAGTTATTCAGCTAATTGGAAATCAACAAAATTATTGTTCCTGAAGATCTTTGTCCTGTAAGCAATAAGAGATGAGAGAGCTTTAAATATGTTTTTGTTTTATTTTAAACTTAGCTATGTGGTTCAGTTTTATCTGCATGTCCCAGTTAAGGAAGACACAGAGGGCAGGACATATCAAAATCCAAGTTGAGACTCTGCTGGGGTCTATTGGACACATGCAGCATCATTTGTGATATAAGCTAAACCATAGTACTTTTAATATCTCTGAACCCCTTTTCCTGCTCTTTCATTGCAAAGTGCTTGGCAACCCTCTCTCTAGGCTAAAAGAAACTGCTTGTAATATTTGTTCATCCTCATTATTTTTGCTGTCAGTGTTTCCTTAAAAAAATCCATTTCCCATTTTTGTTCTAAAATTTAAACTCCACGTTACTGATATGCAAGCCAGCATTTCCCTTTTGGCAGTGTTACCAAGTAATAAACAAGATATGGAGTGGAGATTAGCCGGAATGAACATCTAGAATAGGTCTTATCTTCACACCTCTGATCTTCTCTTGCCGTATCTGGGCCAAGGACATAGCCCATTTAAGTATAAATATGTATGTTCTCTAGCTGTATTCATTCCTAGATCCTATCACTGTTTTAAGTCTGGAGGTAACATTTGTAGGTTCATTTGGAAGAATTTGGTCCTCTTATGCCACTTTAGTCAGGTAGAGGAAAAAGCCAAATCACTTCTTCCCTGAGAGAGCATTTCATACATCTCCATCTCTGTGATAGCACCGAGTCATTATGTAGCAGTTGGTTCTGATACGCTTGCACAGACACAAATTAAGTCCGACAGGACTGATGTCTCCTGGACTTTGCTGTCATTTGAAATGCTGGCATGAGGATGGGAACAGTGGGGGAGGGGAGCAGAGCTGATTCCCTTAGCACTTTTCCTATGCAGTCAAATGCTCTACCACTGAGCATTTCTACCACTGCATTTTTCCTATGAAGTTTTGAGAATTTTAGCTTTTGATAGCTGCGAACTGCCTGATAAGTTATTTTCCAGATGAGATTGATAACAATAGCAGATTTGGAGCAGCTGGCTAGCTTTTGGTTTCAAGTGGATGTATTTCAATGTATAACTTGCTATTTCATGCCAACCGCAAATCCGTTAAAAATAAAAAGGGCTAGCAAGTGGATTGGTAATTACAATGATCCCCCACCTTTTCATTTAGCTTTATCTTTCCTATCCATACCTATCCATTCCATTCAAATGACACATGCATAGTAATGAAAAAGATAAGATCTTTAAAAAATTTTTATTCTCAGGCTCAATCTCAGTTTCAGAAAAGGCAGGCTATAGTATCTCTGTTACAATACTTTTTCAAGTGCAAGTTATTTTGGTGGATTAGGTTATTTCGGGATATCTCTAGTATTTCCTGTCAAGAATTTTGTACGTGTTTCAAATATTCCACTATACAAAACTTAAAAGTATACTGTTTCATTTGGCAGAAGAATTCTGATTGTCATCCTCAAGTTTTCACCATGATAGAGGAAGCAATAGAATTTAGTGCTCCCTCTCTCTGTATTCAGAGCCTACTCTGTGTAAGACGCTGCACTAGATTTCTTGAAGTTTCCTGTAGGAACAATTGTTTATCACCCGACGAGTCATTACTTCAGATTAGTGCTTGGAGTAAGTCGGTCATGGCTGCCCTTCTTTTCAGCTCCCATCCAGACCACCATCCCCTGTGGTCTGTGTTACTTTTCACCTGGGATACTTGCTCTGGCCTAATAGTGCTGCATTTGTGTGTTAGCTCATCTTTTCAAAGCCCATTTCCTTGTTCTGCTCAGAAACACTAAGTAGCTTTATTCGTGATTTGCTGAGTAAAGTCTGCTTGACTTGGATTGGTGTTCAAGTCTCACCATGACCTTTTCCTTTCCTT